AAAGAGCACATTTTTGCACGACTCCTATTTTCTCATGTAATACAGGAGGCTGTTTTGATAAGGTAAGAACACGAGACTGACTGCCTTTTATTAACCAGCTGGAAAGAGCTGAAGAAGCTTATTGTGGGTTTTGTAAATGCAGCTGTCTTTCTGAATATCGTATCCCTGTGCACCAACAACATTCACTTTCATACTGTCTCTCTCCTACCAATCTTTTACAAAAGAGCCCCTGATATGGCAGGACCACACGAGTCCCTGTGCTGGAGCAACGATTGCAAGTACCGAAGGAGGGGCAGAAGTGCAGGACAAGCCCTCAGGCTGGCACAGGGCAAAAGAAACAGCCTTGGACACAGCTGCGATACAGATAATGGTGTTTGCTGGTGGGGGGACATTGCTCCCCAGTACCTGGGACATGGGGGAAGAGAGATGAAGAGGATGTTGCAGTTCCTCCAGGACTGCAGGAGGAAAAAGTCTGGGCTGTCCAGTTCCACAGGCTGAAGATGATGATTCAGTCAGAAAAAGCGTCTGGGCTTACAGAAGTAACTCCTGAATGATCAGTGGCAATGGAAAGACTGCTATGAAAATTTCATCAGTTATGTTAACAGACACGTTTCTGAAAGTCCATTTGAAGCAGCTCAGGAATGTGATACTGGGGGCTTCGATAGCAGCAAGTAACAAGTTTGAAACATGACCTTGGTGCAAGGAGCAGCCCTGGCAGGGGACAGATATGATCCCCTGTCCCTGCTCCACACAGGCAACTTGGGTTGCTCTGCCAAATAGTCACACAGATAGAACAATCCTCACGTGGAGTTGAAGGTTGCTCCATGAACCAGCCAACCAGCCAGGGTTCAGGATGTCTCATCTAGAGCATCCTGCCACCATGAAGCAGGATGACAGGAAAGGGCACAATCTCACACTTGAACTAGGCCAAAATTAAAGGATACTTGGCACGTGCCCACCTTTCCCAAGAACAGGACAGCCAACTCAAAATCAGCTTTCAGAGATGCTCTGAAATGAATACAACACTGGATTCCCAGTTCTGCTTCACTGTCTCCCCTCACAGGATTTCTGCACTTGCTTTATGACCTCCGTCCTGCACTGGCAGCACAGCAAAAAAGCAGTTATCTGCCTGCCTTAGCTGGCAAGGAGCACGTTGAAGGGCTTCTTGCCGTTGTAATAGAGATGCAGTGGAGCAGCTGGATTCTCTCACCGCCATTCAGCAAGAGAGCTGTTAATTTCTTTTTTTTTTTTTTTTTGCATATACAACAGACTGAAATCTATAGCCCTCTAATGTAAATGAAGCACTTCCCTCTACCTTGCTTATCACAGGATGACAAAGCAACATTCGGGTTTCACAGAAGCACCAAGCTCAGCTCCAGAATATTGCTGGTTCTGTTCCTTCAAAATCTTACCTTGAAAGAAAGGCTTGATGCTGCTTTATCGTGTCCAGTTCATAGGTTGATGAATCACTCCTTTTTCGTGGCAGCTGCTTCTTTGGATCTTCTCCGTTGCTACGGGGAATATCAATGTTGCTCCTGCTGAGGTGTCTGCTGGCTTCCAGATTAGAGCCGCTGGAACAATAGCTGTTGTTCACCGTTATTCCAGGAGACAGCAGGTCGGTATCCTGGGATTTGAAATACACGGATTTAGCACTCTAATAGCTGAATCAGGAATACACCCACATTATAACCTGCTCCTTCCATCCTCCTTTCCCTGTTTACCCCAAGATCCAGTTGAGGACAATACAGCATCTCAGACCAAACCACTTCCTAAGGGTGTGGGTGATGCTTCACACCAGAGGGTGAAGTATCCCTGTTCAGAGCAAAGGCACCCAAATTGAGACACACATGCACCATAAGACACATGTTTGCCATTGATAAGGAACAGAGTCTTTGTTGTTTCACGAAAAGATCCTTACTAAGAACAGAGGCCATGGAGGCACTGTGGCCAGCTGACCTGTTCCCAGTAGACCCTGGGAGCCAGCATTACCTGGACACTCACAACGCTTCCTCGCCGACTGCTGTTCTGGCTCTCAGATACAGTCTGATTGCTGTAGCATAAGGCATCAAATCCCAGGATTCCTCCAACACAGTCCCCTACCAAGCAGACCTGAAAAAGGCAACAGAAGCAGGGGAGAGAAAAAAAAAAAAAGCCCCTTGACTTCAGTTCAGAGCTGACAGCTAAACGGAGTGCTGGAGTACACGTAGGAAAGCTGCAGTAACAGGATGCCCAGTGCTTTCATCAGTAGAACTATTCAGTCAATGAACATCCACTCTGCAGACTCTCGTTAGCTAACGTAGCTAACATGTTCTGGCTGTCCCCACCAGCTGCCTGGAGTGAAGTGAAAGCAACACAGAGCACTGATCATGGCACTAACTCCAGCCTCAGAAAACCAATCTTCATTCCCTCCTTGCCAGCTGTGACGCCTACTCCGGGCAAGCTTCCCTGTGCCTGTGCCCCCTGTTTGTACCCTGAGGAGGTAACGCTGTCCTGCCTCCAAGGGTATTCAGCAGATAGGTGCAATAAAGCACTGAGACCCCTGGGTAGGAGAGGGCTGTCTGGGTCCCCGGGCACAGCGCTGGCTGGGAAGAAGCTCAGGGTGGATAAATCACACTACTGCAGTCCAACGTGACAGCTACTCCAATAGCTCAAACCTCATGGGGCTAGAAAGTCACTTTGCCCACAGAGGTGTGAGGCTCAGTCAGGGTCTTTTAGGGGGCACAGCAGCTGCACAGTTTCCAAAAAGAAATTCACTTCTGTGACAGCTCCAGCACGAGCTGCTGAAGGTCCTTGAAAGAGGGGAATGCTTAAACAGCTTTCGTTTGCAATAGGAGCAGAGCTCATGTTTAGTAACAAAGGTAGCATTCCTGATTTGGAAAGGTGTGTCACACTGAAAATTGATTACCTTCACACCTTTGTAGCTTCACTTCTGAGCACAAGTTCAGACCTTGCTTTGAATCCCAAAGGTTTGAGACAGAGCATAAGCAATAATCTCTCTCTCTCTCAAAAGAAAGAAACGGAAGCACAACACTTTCTTATTGCAGCTCAACACTGTCGTGTTTCCATCCCTCCTGAGAGATTAATGGAAGAGAGCTTCAGAAGGAAATTGCTTCACTTGCTCTTCCTTTCATTGTGGCTATAAACAGCCGCTGGCTCACCTGGCCGTTGAATGACATGCCCTCCTGGGATCTGATGAACTCGCTGTAGGCCTGGTTGGCTCTGACGATGACTGCAGCTACCGCTTCTTGGTACTGCGGGGATGATGTTGCTAGCAGAGGGAGTGCAGCAAGGGGAATGTGATCCTGGCTGTTGGACAGGCAGCCTTCGTCATAACTATATGGGCTGAGGCTGGATAGGGCAAGAGATATTGGAAATATTGAGCCTAACACAGAGTGGGGAAAACCATTTGCAGACAGTACAGTCAGTACTGTGGTTCATTAAAAAAAAAGCCTCGAGATAGAAAGGCCATTTATTCCACTGTGAATGGGCAAGAGCTTAATAAATCTTTCCCTCCCATCAAACGTAAATCTTCAAGGACAACATACTTACATTGACAGAACAACCCTCAGACAAGGAATTAAAGCCTTAGTATTTATTGGATTAATTAGAATAAATCAATCTCAGAACTCTTGCTGCATGATTACTGTATTCACTGCAGCTAAGTATGAAATCGAGATTGAATGCCTCGCTAGTATATTAATAAGTGCATTCTCAAAGCGTGGTCAGAGCTTTCAATACTACATGCAGAATATTTCAAGGAAGCAAATAAAAAATCCAAAAAAAAACAAAAGTGAAATTTTATACATGTCTCTTCATGACAAAGTAGCACCAACTTACCTGGACACCAGTGAAAATGCTTCAGAGCAGATGGCTGGGCAAGGGACTAGCCTGATGGCAATGTGGCCAAGAGCAGCTGGGTAATGTACCCTCATCACTGTGTCAAATACTGTCGTGATGGTGTTGACATCCCCTTGCTTAGAGCTCTGGTCACCACTTCCTGAGTCCAGGATGTTCCCTCCATGGAGTACCAAGAGGAGGACATGGATTTTACTTGGCTGCATTAATGGCTGCACTGATTCATCCTGGGTGGGAATGAAAGAGAGCACAGTAGAAAGGCTTATTTTGCAAAGAGATTTTATTTGGTCCAAGTGCATTTTATGCAAATTTCATCACCTTTCCTTCCCCACGGTGCATACAATAAATGCACTATCCACATCAAGTCCAGTCAGGGATGAGGCAAACTACAATCTGCAAAGCAAGGTACTTCCAGCAGAAACTGTATTAGCCATGATGCAAGGCCTTGGCAAGCCCCCATCTAGAAGGCCGAGTTCAGTTTAGGCCATCCACACACAAAGATAATTGCCGTGTGAGAAGGACCAGAAGCACGGAGGCTTTTTGAACAGAGACTGGAAGAGTTCAGCCTGATTTGCTTTGCAAAGCTACCCGAGAATAAAATGCCTGCTGTCAAACACAGTGGAGATGAGTAAAGAAAGCTAGGGAGGGAAGTGAGGCACTTAAGTCAAAGGACAGTGTGGGTGTAAGCACAAGAGTCTGAACTGACCCTGAGTAAGTGTAGACTGGAAATCAGATTCCTAAACACAGGAGACAGGAGATTTTAAAATAACACCTGCAGGTTTGTGGGTAAGAAACTAAACTGGCTTCAAGAAGGAATAGGCTTCATGTATGGACATGGGCATTAGAATCACCTCGATATAACCGCTGAGAACCTGACTACTCCTTCCAGGTCTCTTATCTGACACACATGCATGCACAAATGCACACACACAGCCTCAGTGTAACTGACTGTGCTAAGCAGAAGGAATGCTGGAAGTTGAAAAAAAAAAAAAAAGTCATACAATTGTAACCATGTAAAACATAGCAGCAGTAAAGACATCACTTGTGCGTGTTAGGGTGGAAACATAAAGAAATAAAAGAGGACTATGGCTTTCTGTTGGGGTGCTGAGCTCAGCTGCAGCAGTTGACAGTAAAACACATTCAGCAAAATTAACAAATGAGATCAAACAGGTCAGCAAGTGGCAAGTTACTGAGGAAAGAAGCTGTGGAAGAGATCAGTCATTGCAGCTGTTTGCCTGTGACAGAAGTTATAAATAAGACTTCAGATTTGCTTATACTGTTGCAAAAGAGGAACTGAAAAGAAAAAAAAACTTTAGAGATCCTGTGACCCAAGGACTGGCCAACATCACGAACACAGTAAAGGTTTTTGTTTTGGCTGTCCAGGTCATTTGCTTATTATGTTGAATCAATTCGCTGCCTGAACAGACAGGCTGTAGTTTGGGGGAAGGAGTGAATTGTATCTGAACTCCAGAGTGGGTTATCATTAAGCGCCCTGCCAGAACAGCTGTCAGCCCAACCCTGATGCCCCAGGAGCAGGTACCAGAGCATCCATTTGTACTGGTTACATCCTACAACACAATGGAGCAGTAACTATTTTTAACACCTATTCACTACCAGGGCTTTCAGTGTTTGCGGCTCCCACACGGATGATGCAAATCCCCCATCCCAACACCTTTGAGAGAGGTGAAAGTAGGTACTGATCTTTCCTGCTGTGTCTTATCCTTTGTCCTAGCAGAGACTACATTTGAGAACATCCTGGGCAACCTCACCCTGTTGAGGCAGAGAAATCGCCACTGGGAGGGAGTGTGGAAGGGGTAAAGGGCAGCAGGATTTTCCATTTGGCAAATTCTTCTAATTTTAGCATCTTTAGTCACTTGCTGTCCTTTGAGCAGCGACTGAGTCCCTGACAAACCTGTTGGTGGGAGGAAAGCATGCCCAGGCACACATCAGCAACCTAACAACTAGCTTGTATTTTTACCAGACAATGTTAAAGCATGTCTTAATACATGGCCCACCAGAAGTATTAAAATTCACATTGAAGTCTGTAATGAAGATTTTCCAGACCTCCTGCATAAGAATGGCCTTTAATTATTTAGTACCATCACACCGTATTCATGCCTGCTCTTTAAACCTTCCCTGATTCCAGCTTACAGCACCTGCAAAGTGAACTTTTGCCTGGCTGGAGGATGGGAGGAGCACACTCAGCAGCTCAGCACCGCTTTTGCTTTCAGACAAATGTTTTAAGTGCTCATTTGGAGAAAACATGAGTCACCAAGCTCAGATCACCCAGAAGTTTATCAGCAGTCATTCGGAGGCACCTTTCCCTTTCAGTTCATTAACCTCTGCTCTTGAAGGAAGTGGCAAACATCCAAGTAACTGCTGATCTGGTTAGGGGTGGAGGTGGCTATTCAGAACTTGTAAGGTCTGGAGTCTTATAAGACACTTAATTCCTGAACTACCTTTTAGCATTGGAGACTCTTAACCTGAAAAATCACTGCAATGGTAGCTAGGAACTTCATACAATTTCAGTAGACTGCTTGTGAACAACTACAAATAACTGTCTTTCTCATCTCACTTTGAAATCTCTTCTTTTTCTAAAATGAAGGCAGAAACAGGAGGGGGTTGAGTTTGTACAGCCCTCTGAAGAAGAAAATGAGTTCTCCACACCATCCTGAGATCTAAGAAAATTCTTAGGGCTGTGACTTGCTTATCCTGAGGTGGCTAGAGCTCTCAGTCTATTACATAAAAGCCAAACCACCATGAACTTACTGCCTGGCACACAGAGTAATACCAAAACCACACTCATGGTGTTTGATAGACCACGACATAACTTACGCACTCTGCAAGCAGCTACATCATCTCTGCAGCACAGACAGGCACATGCTTTAACGGTAGGATGAGCACAGCCGCTCCAAGAGGCACTGTCTCACTAGGACACTGAACTGCAAAAGCCTGTATATGCCAGGGTGGATGGGTGTGTTATTATTTATTTATTATTTCATCCAGAGCGCTGATAACAGGCTATGCTACAACCTGTTTCCAAACAAGACTCCGAGCAGCTCCAAAGAGCGGGCCACAGCTGAGCTACGTCACTTGGACCACTGCAGCCTGCACCTTGGTGCTGCAGTAATGTGGCTCTCCTGTTCCCACGTCCATGCCAGCTCATTCTGCTCCCCTGCATTAGCAGGATAGTTCTAACCATCAGTGCCTCACGTTGCAGTTATCCCCACAGGATTAGTACTTTTTTCCAGCCAGACACCCGACACCACCTTCAAACTACAGAGCATTTTCTACACGATGTTCAGGTGAAATAATCCCTTAAAACCTAGCCATGAAGTACACAGCATGCCGGTGAGGCTCAGGACTACACACCAAGACAAGACAGCACTCACAGCAAAGGGAGCTGTTTACCCCACACGGACATATTCCAGCAACAAGGGATCTCATTACAAGAAACCGAAGCGCTTACTTCAATGATGCTGAGCCTCTCCACACTGGAGCCAACGTGGTACTCTGCAGATGTCTCGTGATACAAGTCACCTGGAAGCAGAGGTTTAAATGTCAGCGCTGCAAGGTGCTATTTGGCAAAGACACGCTTCCATAAAGACACTGTTTGAGCCAATGCCTCTCAGCCTCTTCTGCCTCACATCTCCTTAATTATTTCATCAGATTGCCCTCTCCCTCCCTCCCGCCTCCTTCCACCTGAGAAGCCTGGGCAACGCTGGGTCACTTATTTTCCAGCAATTTCTCACAACCTCGGTAAGTGCTGAGGACATTAGTGAGCTCTTCTCTCATTACAGTGGTCCAGTGTCATTGCCTTGTTAAGGACGGCAACAATGGGAAATCCCTGCGCAACTGGCAGAAAAGATTGGTTTGAGGGAAAATAAAAGGAATTGCTTGAACTATGCTGGGGGAGCAGAGAGAGAGTTCATACGTCTGTGCCTACACAGACCGACTTTGTACCAGAAAGCTTAAGTGTCATCTTCCACCGTGCTGCTACATGAATTGATCTGGCTGAGGAGCTAGTTTCCTTTCAAAATTTCATAATGATGAGCAGAAAATAAAAGCAAGGCAGATACAGACAAGAACAAAGGATGGAGCAAGAGCAAAGAAGAGGCAGGAGAAATTCAAGTCATTCAAGATGGAGCTGGAACATTTAATCATTATACGAGAGAATCCTGGCTGTTGCACAAAGGAGCCTAACCAACGCAGAAAACAGAAGAGAATCAAGAGTTATCCCAGCTCCCACCGGGCTATTCTTTTTTGGCAGCACTGGGCAGCCATTTTTATGCTCTGTCCGAGTTTCTCATTTTATGAGATGAGGATAACAAGTTTTACCTTTTTTCAGAATGTGGCTGTAACAATTGCCTGGAAATACTGTAATATATCACACACAGTTTTTACTTAAAAAAAAAAAAATTACCCTGGACATCATCACACTCGGGGGTTTCAATTTTATCCATCAGATCATTGGAACTCCATTTGGTTATTTCTTTCGGGAACATTTCTTCATTGTCAGACAAGTCCTCTTTAAAAAACAGATTTTTTTGAGAGTCACACACACACAAATATGTATATAGACAACAGCACAGAACAGAATTTTAAATAAAAGTAAGGCCCCATAACTCTATGTAACCTTATATACATTTGGATGGCTTAAGTCACAGTAAAACATGATACTTTACCAGCTTTTGTAATATAGAAAGCAAAGCACCTTTTGAAAAGTAAACCAAGTGTTTTAGTTATATGTTTTTAACGAGCAAAACTCCTAAAGCGTGAAAAAGAAAAAAGCTTAGATTTTTAATGTTACCATTTCAGGTACCAAATTTGACGTTTTTCTTGCCATACTTTCTGATGATGCTAAAGCAGCCAGTATAGGAGAGGACAAAGCAACGTTTGCTGCTGGGATCCTCCCAGATCTGTTTGAAAGCTGTGGGACGTCTTTGGGGAAAGCAGTGACAAGGATCACTATTGTTAATAGGACCGAATACCTAAAAAGGCATGAGTAATAAAGGAACCGTGAACTCCCTAGGCTATCTTTAGCCTGATTTCCTCAGGAGATGAGACTTGTTTGATCACACTGAATGCATGTGTCTGCCATTTCCCTCCTACCTCAGGATATTCTGAATCCCCTGGATCAGTTCAGCTACAGTTGATAAAGAATAAGGGTCCCCAAAACACTATGTTCCTAGAAATTCAATTAAAAGGAAGAGACATATAAAGAAGAGACCCTATAGAACACTCCACAGTAGTACCCAAACATAAGAAAGATTAATAGCCTTGCTCTCTAGCAGACAACAGAGCAGTCATGCCAGGTTAGGGGAGAAAGGAGGGCTGTCAGGGAGGTGACACTGGAAGGCAGGCTTGTGCTTTTACCCACACGACATGCTGCTGGGCTGCAGAGCCCTAATTCATTGCAGTGAAAGCCTGACAGGGGCAGGAGTCCAGCCTCACCTATCCACGGGTCTTTGCTGGTACCTCCACATGGAAACAAGCAGCTGAGCCCTGCGGAGGTATCACTAAACAGGCCATTAGCAGCTGTAGCACTGGAAGAATTCATCCCAGTGCCCCCACTGGACACCTCACACACCCCCACGCCTGCTGGCCTGGGCCAGGTTATCCGACACGTGTGGACTTCCCCCACAAGAGGCTGAGCTCGCTTTCAGCCCAAGCCTGAACACAAGGCGGCCAGTCTGGAGCTGACAAAGGACTCACAAAATTGTTTATGTCCAACAAGAAGTCCTCTGAGACAGCAGCAGCCCGATGGCTCCTTTATCGGGTGAGAGCACGGACCCAGCACGAGCTGGGCAGGGCACCATGCAGCCTCCGCGATTCGTGCTTAATCCTGGCAGGTTCCTGGGAGGGAAACAGAGCCCTGGAGCTCCCACTGGAACCCATGGGAAACCTAACGACAGCAGTGCAAGGCTTACAAAGATGCCTTTGGCATGGGTTGCTGGTTTGGGTTTTTTTTTGATTGGTTGGTTGGTTTTTTTCCTCCTTTCTCTGTTCTTTTTTTCCATTGGGGATGTATCTTTTACTGTTACAAAGGTTAAGTGCTTTCTAATTTATTTATTGCTCTGAGCTTAGTATTTCTTTCCTGAAAATTTTGGGCTTGTAAATTTAATAGAGAGTTATAAACAAAATAACAACGGCCGTAATTACAGATGTCTTGAAGATTTAAAAGCTGTAATCTTCAGAGTCCCAGACTAGGATTCCCCCTTTCTCGCTCCTGTACAGTTACTAAGAAAATAATTAGTTGGAAGAACCCTAGGATGGGGAACAAAAAGATTATGAAATATATTCATCTTTTCAGCAAATCTGAGCAATAGCTTAAAAAAAAAAAAAGAATTAAAGGGACTAAGTGCAGAGTCAAGCAAAGACCAATTATTTTTAGAGTTTCTATTTACACTTCTACTATAAAAAGAGAGGAACCTGGTAACCTTGCATCAGCATGCCATTTCCTTTTTCAGCTATGGAAAAAATTTGAGTAAGTCCCCAGTTCCCTGCACAAGGGAGTGCTGAGCTACCTGCTCAGAGCAAGTGGAAAGCACAAGCGTGCAACACACATGCTGGCAGAGAATTAAGAGGAAGATTGCACTCAAAGCTCTTCCAGCAACTTAATCTAAATATTAAACTTATTTCCTTGAGAGGTTTAATTACAGCCCTTATTGCTGCTCAAGTGATCATTGAACGGGATATTACTCCCATTATTAGCATTTATTACAGGATAGATATTAGATATTACTGTATTTGTCACTATCTTTACCAGAGTATGCCAGTGAACGAGGATGAGTGGGAAGCCGGCGACAAGAAATCTTCTCAGGCTCAGGTTACGCCCACTGCACTGCGAGGAAATGTGTGTGTATATATGGGAAGCACTTCTGAGGAACTCTGCTTGGTGTTGACTCACATCCTGATCTGTGCCAGTTCCCATGGTACCAACCCCGCAAGCCTCCCCGGCAGGATGAGCTGCAAGCGGTGCTTCATCCCTGCTCACAGACCCGGAGCTGGGACATGTCAGCTGCGGGCCAAGGGGCAAGGAGAGGTCCCTCCCGAGGAGAGGGTGGGGTTGAACAGCACACACATCAAGGCTTCAACTCGTAAGCCAAAATCCCATCGGACTAGGCAGGCTTTTCTTACCCAACTGTGCAACATGCGAAGGACAATCTGTACATAAATGGAGACATGCAGCGTGCTAGCAGAAGAGGAGCTGCTTCTTCCGTTAGCAAGCTCCTAGAAGTATTGTGAGAGAGGTGCTGATACCAACTGTGGCACAAGGCTCATTTTTGTTAATTCTCCTTCCTAGGCCTGTTAGGAGCATGTCAAGGATTCCCTGGGGGCCTGGATCCCAGGCAGAGCTGTCTCTATCTCAATTTTATTACTAATTAAAAGGGCAAAAAAGAGGGTGGATAGCAATGATGCCGTTTTGATGACTCCCTCTTCTTTTCTTGTGTGTATATTGCTACAATAAATCCCGTACAAAGTTTTTGTAGATGCTACATAAGTTAGTAGAGACACAAACTAAGTTGGCCCTTCTCCTTCCAGGCAAGGGACACATTCATCCCCTGACTCGCACGCATCCAGGCCATTCAAGCTGCTACTGTGCAAGTCACTACTCTACACCCCAGAATTGGAGATGTATGCCAAAATATGTGATGCGAGAACTCTTCTGGAACACAATACTATCAGGTTTTTGAGACTGAACTTTAGGCGAACATCAGTGAAATCCTGCTTTACAAAACCGGGGCGTCATCATCTAATAACTGCATTTCACAGAAAGGTCACCAACTTCATCAGCACACGTTACACATCTAACTTAGATTAGCATTACAAGCCGAGAGAAGAGTCCATCTGTTGTCAGTAGAGACGGAGCCCTTCAGGCTTAAATACGCACTAAGTACAACACATAAAACGAGTGCAGTGGAACAAAGCTTCTTCACACACACATGCACAGAGAAGAAAAAAAAAAACCAACACAGCTTTCTCCTGATACATGTAGTCAAAATTACTTTGGGAATTCTGGAATCAACACTGACTGATTTTGGCACCTGAAGTACGTTGCTGCATTGACTACTATATTTCTTGGAACACAAGAATAAGGAGTTAATAAAGGCAAACGTGGGTCTCTTTGTGCCAAGACAGGACAATTAATCATACCTCCTACTGATCAAAAAATAAATTAGAAAAATAATCAGTCATACTGAATCAGAATCATTAGGACACATCCACAGTCCAGTTAGCACTGCTGAATTTTACCCACACTCATTTGCACCAAAAAAAATATAGCTCCAAAGGTTAAGGCTGTTCAAAGTCCCTTCAAATAGATCACTCTGAATCTGAAATGTTGCTGCATTAAATATAAGAGTCTGCTGGGTGATGCTGGGGATGCCTGAAGAAGCTGCACTGATACTGCACCTATCTTTGTTAGAAAGGAAAAGACTTCAAACAAAGCAAAAAAGTCTCACTTCCTTCCCCGCTCACCCCCACCCTCATGCCTTCCGTTCTCTTACCCCACCATTTCAGGAAACAAGTAACAGTGATTTAGGGTCCACATACCATGTGCATCAAAGAATTCATCATCTGAGCTGTCATCTGAATCTCTAGCAATGCTCTGCATCCTCCACTCGGAGATACTATGGCGAGAGGGGCTTGCTGGAAAAAACAAAAAAGCCTTATGCGATACGCTACATCGAGAAGACTGAGAGTTCCCAACATGATCTTTGCTGGAGGAAGAGTCGTGTGTTCTCTATGAAAATTCACTGCTGCAATATTAAAAAACACAAAACCCCGATGATGCTGGTGTGATGTCAGTGTGCCGCTTTACAGATCTTGTTTGTTTACTGTTGTTCGAACCTGCCAGCAAGATGCTACATTAAAGCAAGCTGTTTGTATCACTCTCATGCTATTTTGAATGGCAGCTATTTATAATTGTTAGTAGGACGTGCAAAATCAGCTGGGTTTTAAAGTTTGCAATTAGGAAGGAAGCAGGCTGATTGGAAGCCTTCTTCGTGCCTCTAATCAGCACACAGACCATGCCTCTGCTTCGCTAACTTTCGGGTGGGTAGCTAAGCAGAGCAGCCTGAATAGAAATAATCTGTTTTCTGGAAGGAAATTGCTTCCACACAAATTGGATTAGAGATCTATTTAAACTTTAAACTTGAATGATTTAAACAACATGCTATCCAACTACTTCGTAGAGAGCTGTCGGAGCAGCTGTCCTGAGAGAGCGAGGAGAAAACCCAACGGTCCATTCGGTTCTGTTTGCCCTCCTGTTCTTACACCTACCTGCTCCCTTTCATTTTCCCCTCCAGAGCTCCCTGTGCTAAACATAAACATATTACATCTTTTTTTTTTTTTTTTTTTTTTTCAGATATAATTTAGCAATGATCCAGCCTGAACTCCTCTTGGCTGAACTTGTTACAGAACAGCCGTCGGCTGAAGGGAGCAGTTCCCAGAGAACAACGAGAGAGAGGGTTTCTCCCCTCTTTCAGATGGCTCTTGCACGTCACAGAGCGCACACAAAGCGCTCGCGGCAGCCACCTAACCTAACACAGCAAAAACCTGAGGAGACTGACAAATTCTCATTTAGCATATACAAAGACGCTGAAAGGCTCTGGTTACTGTGACAGCTGCGTGAGCCGTTTCAGGCTATTGTTGTAATGCTGTTAAATATACAACTAAAATTCTTCTAATTTCACTACCCGGTGGTGACATGGAAAGAGGACAGAGCCCCTGTGCAGAGTCATCTAATTGCAGCTCAGCATTGGCTCAGCAGCCCCCAACTACCCCACCGCCCACCCCTTAGGGAGCAGCAAGCAAGGAGGCTGGCAGAGCAGAGCTAATTCACGCTGGAGTGACGTCAAGGCATAATAGTTGCTAAAAATAGAGCATATAATAACATATGGGAGGGCGACAAGGGTCCTGCTGTCACCAGAGGTCTCGCCTGGATGGTATAGAAAGGATCGGAATCTACTGGAGAACAGGCGTCGCTTTTTTCAGCTGGAGGTAGTGGTATGTCGAGACAGCCCTCCTTGCTTCCATAAGTTAATATGCTGCCAGCATGAAGAAGGATTAAAATATCTGCATGACGTACTTCCCAGCACATCACAATTCATTCCTTTCATTACTTTTTCTTGTAAAAGCTGAGATATTCTGCAGTTTAAAAGAAATTCAGGCTTTGCTACCAGTGAAAACCTTCAAGTGAAATCCTAAGAGGTCTGAAAACTACAGCTTCCAATGAACATGTCAGCAGTGGAAGACGGGGTTCATAACAAAAAGAACAACGAGAGACAGGCACATCAATATAAAATCCTGGTGCAAGCAAAGTAGCCAGCATTTTTAGCTTTATACCACGATTTATGAAGCATCTGATAGGTTCTTCCCTGGGGCTCACTCCAGTGAGTCATCGCAAGGTAAAACTACTGCTTCTCTCTCATTCAGCCCGTGATGAAATCAGTGATGGAGTGGTAAATAAAAATGGAGACGCAACTCACAATATTTAGTGCATATGGGAGATGGAGAAGCTTTGCTCAGCCAGATGTCCCCTTCCACCATCAGTGGAAGAAATGCTGCCCCTTGGGGTTTTCAGAAAAATCAAGATTTTTTTGCCCTCTTGCTGTGAGAGCTATTACCCTGCTATCAGCTGCGCTTGACTAAAAGGCGAGGGAATTGCTGAAGGTCCAAGCCTTCTGTCTGTAACTCACTGGGGATTCACCCCTTTGTACAGAATGGTGTGAGGAAGGGAAGAGTTTAACACAGGAAAAAAAAAAAAAAAAAAAAAAGGTGACTGCCTAGGGAGAGGTGAATGACGAAATTCAGGACTCAAAGCTGAGTTCTTACAGGGCACCCATGGGGGGCCTTTAACAGCAAAATCCTGAAAGCTTCCAGAATAGAATTTAAAAGGGAGCATAAACACGATCCATGATCCCACCTCATCCCAAGCCACGAGGTTTGGTCCCCCAACAGCTACTGCACATCATCACCAGTGGAAGGCAGCAGCCCCCACCCACTTTTTTGGGGGGTACCTGCCTTGATCTCCCCTGTAGCTGATAGGGGTGCCTTGCTGGGTGAGCTATACTGCGGCACCCATGGAGCCAAACACCCACTTTCCAAACGAATGGCACGTAGCAGCATATGGCCACGGAGCAGGGGCTGCAGCTGCCTGCCTGCTGCAGCTACCTCCTGGAAAACAAGAGGCACTTAACAGCGACCCACAGCTGGGCCAGTTGTGTGCCAATGCAGACAAGCAGACATCCAGAAAGGGGATGCTGCTGAAGGACCATAAAAGCTACCAGCAGCTCTTGGGTAACAAGGACTGTCTCTCTGTGCTGCTGCTTGTCGTCTTCTGAGACCCAATGCTGCTAGCTAGCTGCTGGCTGCTCTTCTACCATTTTTTCATAGCTTCTCTGCTTCTGAGATTGGCAATTCTGCCATGCGCCACTGAGTCACACTTGTGGGATGACTAGAAACACTCCTAAACCTGTAACAGGCCACCTGAGAAGACTGAGCCTGCAACACCAGCAGAGAAGGCCTCTGAGTTAAAAGGACTCACAGGAGAAACGTGCTTTGTTCCAAAGGTGTCAGCCACAAGGAGACATGGTCCTGCTTCCCAAAAGCCCAACCTCCCAAAAGCCCAACCTCCCAAAAGCCCAACCTCCCAAAAGCCCAACCTCCCAAAAGCCCAACCTCCCAAAAGCCCAACCTCCCAAAAGCCCAACCTCCCAAAAGCCCAACCTCCCAAAAGCCCAACCTCCCAAAAGCCCAACCTCCCAAAAGCCCAACCTCCCAAAAGCCCAACCTCCATGCAGTTCAGAAGAGCAAGACATCATCAGCATCTTACCTCCCCTCTTTGAGGATCTTGAGGACTTGGAAGAGGTGGACCACTGCTTGGTGAGCGATCTCCCAGAGGCTGTTTCGCTGTCACCAGTGGCATCCTCTGTGTCAACAGGTGAAACTGTGTTGGCTTCAACATCCTTCTCACCAGGAGTGTCTTTGACTCCGTGCTGCTCAGTATCATTTTCACTGCAGAACTGGGCCATCTTCTGAGCCAGCATCAACTGTGCCTCCTTCTCCAGCTGCCGGATATCCTCAATGGTTAGCCCATACCATTCGTCCTGCCAGCACCAAGCCTGTCGATGGGCACGAACCATGACCTTCCGCAAGCCTGCAAAGCCAAAATGCCCCTGTCACCAGTGCTACAAACCGCAGGAATCAATGCATTCCCTTCCCCAAAACCTCAAGACACCACAGCAAGGATACTACAGTGGCATCAAAAACACAATGCTATAAGCTGCAGTCAAGGACCTTCGCATAGCAAGCATCAGGATAGCAAATCGGCCACTTCATGTACTTTATCTCCTCGATTCTTGCTAACCAATCGTGCACCGAAAAATTATCCAGTCTTCTGCAACTGTTTTTAACTTGGGAAGGGATTTTCTAATTCTGGATGGAGGACTTTGTTCTGTGACTCCCTGCTTCACCAAAGAGAAGTCACGCACAGACCACAATTGCAACTCCCATGAAGTTCTGGGAAGTTGTAACATTTGGATCTGGCCTTCAAAGTGCAGTATGTTCCCAGAATTTAAAAAATAAATAAATAAATAAATAAAAAACTCAACAAAACCCACTGATTTTCTTTTTTTTTTATCCAGGACATTTTCAGGTGGTTCCTTGATGAACACTACATAGCCCACCACAACTGTTACATGACAGGAGCACATCCCATGTGAGCAGTGCTAAGACTAAAACCTCTCCTTTCCTCGGAAACCTGATTTGTGCACCTGGTTTTATATTTCAGCAAAACAGCACCACAAATATGAGCTTCTGAGATAATGGGATGGGAAGCAAAATAAGGGAGGGAATAAAGATGCTTTATTTTGCAGATACCATCTGTCTTCTGCTGCATGAGAAAAATGAAGTGAGTAAAGCCAATTTAAAATACTTCAATATATCACATATCTGAAAGGAATAACTGACTCAATATCAACACATAATGCTCTGGACCAGGCAACAAAAGCGATCCTCCAAGACTTAAACTTGTTGGCGAATATCATCATACCACTGAGATTTTTAAAACAACATAGTCACTCAGGATTTTCAAACAATATTATTGCTTAAAAGCTCACAACAGGTCAAACCTCCAAACTGCTATTTATTACTGATGGGAGCGCACAGCAGTAATGGGGCTTTTAAAAGCTTCTATAAATACTGACAAACTAATCCCCAGGAGCCTTTCTGGAGGGTAAAAAAAAAATAAAATAAAAAAAAAATCAATGAATATTGGCCCCCCCTTAATTACTGCGAAACTGAGGCAGAGACAGGTTGAAGGACATGCCAAAAGCAGCAATGGGAACTGTCGTCAGTGGGATTATAGATCCACAGTCCTCCATGGCTAAGCCTGGAGCAGAAACATACTGTGCCAAAAAGCTGGCAGGCAGGGTAGCCGTCCTCTCACTCTAATGCAGACCCTGACCAAAGACCACAGGCCACACCACCACCACCACCACTATTAAAAGAGAGAGAGCAATCAACAGGCTACATGAAAATCACTTAGGTTTTGGGAACTGCAGCTCCAGCTCTCTAAGCAGCACCAAGAGGAAAGTGGACCCTCATTAGCCACCCTCTATTTCCAGGAGCACACTAAAGCTGGATGGTCCCACTGGGTACAGGATTCCTAAGGTGTTTCCAGCAACACGTGCTTCACTGTTG